AAAAGACTTGTTATCTACATGGAATGGGCAAAGCAAAAGCCTTGCACGAAAACTCAAATTTCCCAAAACTTTACTGGATGTTATGCAATCCAGAAAGGCCGGTACAAAACCCACGTACCGAACTCCCACAGGATTCAGTATGGGATTTTTGTGGCGCTCAGACGTTTGATAGTCCAAGCGCACAATTCCATGTTTTCAGATTCCCTGCAAAACCGACTCATAGGAATCCCCCAAATAAAAGGACCAAACGGACATTTATCCGTCTGTCCGATCGGACGTGTCAAACTGCTTCTATCAAGGAGTTTCCAATGAATGGTCTCCAAGAGAGCAATCTCAACATTTTTGTCCTTTGGTTTACCTTTACCTTTACCTTTATTTGGCTGGTCTTTTCCTTGGTATAGGTTCACTCCCGGATTCTTAATCACGTCCATGTGGATCTTCAACATATCTTGTGCTTTGCTGACTGTCTCTGGATAATAATCCACTTCCCTGCAGTAGTTTGTCTGAAGATCCAGCATCAGAGGAGCTGTTCTCGTTCGATCACAGTTGCACAGGAATCCTGTTGCAAGAACTGCTTCAAAGATATCGTCCTTGAACTTATCTTTCGCAGCAGTATCGGTGCTAGCAATACAAAATTTTGGAACCAGAAAATGCCATATAGATCTTGCAGGACTTCAGCCTGTCTCAAGAATCGTTCCTTGAAATGCATCAAGTTTTCTGTTGTTCCTTGCTTCATAGCAAAGAACTTTTGGTTGGCTTCCCAGAAATCCAAGAAGTCATACTCAGCATTGGCACTCTTCTTCATGAATCGTTGAATACGTTTCAAGAGTTGGATTTGATCTTCAAGAGTAGTCGTGAAATCGGCTACACCTTAAAGCTTGATATCCATCTCTTTCTTCACAAACTTAAGCATGATGTTTGACTTAACAGTTCGCTTGTTTGTCTCAAAATACGCTGCTCTGTTCATATGATTGGTCAGTTTTGCAGAATAGAGAATCTTGTTTTGAGTCACCTCTGTTTCTCTTGCAACAACTTCCGTTTGAACTGGAGCATCCAACTTTGGTGCGATCGAATCAAAGTCGATTGACTTTCCGTCTCGAATCGATTTCATCATGTCTTCTGAACACTTCATTCCAGAAGCTTGGACATAGTTGATCAGTCTTTCGTTTGCATCTTTGAATGACGATCTTGTCTTCCCATTGTTTTCCTCTTTTGTTGAAAATAGATGTTTCACAACCTTTGAACTTGGATTGTCCTTGACTTTCTGAGGAGTCACACATCCTCTTCCATCACCGGATGAAGAACGTCCCACAGTCAACAAATCACTCACTCCTTTGTAGATAAGGCAGTGCTGTTCTTGACGTATTTTCTTTTTGTTTCCTTTTGTGATTGAATGTTAGAATAAAGCAAAATGTGCTCTATGGTGAGTGCCTTTAGCGCTCAGAACAAACTCTCTGCAATCTAAATTCGTAATTGACTGTACAACACTTCCACAACAATAGTTCTCCTGTGTTAGGTATACTTTGAGTGAAATTGTTCCTATTTGATTAATGTTTGGCTTGAATTGATGATTCAATCACAAAAGTGAGTTCAATGATTTTCCCTTGGAAAATCCCTTGTTTACAGAACTCAATTCGGCTTCTACGAGGATTCTGTGTCAAATGCAGTACTTTGGGACATCTTGTATTATTCCCTACTGTATCTTACACAACATCAATATTCCACTTGTATTGGATCTTTCCCATTTCATGTGGATATAGATTGTCCGGCAGACTTGCGTCGAATCCTGACATCACGATCAAAATCCGATCATGGGTGTCAAAACTTTGTACTTGAATAGTGTTTCTTGGAACGTAAAACTTATCGCGCCTTGTCGACTTACTGTGATATGGAATATGGTAATTGTCCATACGCGGCAACCAACAGCAAGCCGGGCGAGAAGAAACTACGCACACACCTACAAGTCGGCTTTGCTTCGGAGGCCTCTATTGAGGCCGTCCAAGACTACCTTCACACTGGACTCCGTCGATTGGGTAGAGGCGCTGGGTGCTACACTTCTCCTTTGCAGTATGGCAAAATTGTGAAGTTTGGATCATGCTCTTTCATTCCTGCAGAAGTTAACTTCTCAGCTTATGCAAGGGAGCTGATGAGACTCTTTGATTTCGAAGTCCCTCGTGGTATAAAGATGGATTGGGTTTTGATTCCATACACGGGAAGAACAAAGTACAACAAACGGTCTCCTGGAGTGACCAGTCCACATTGTTGTTTCACTCAGAAGATTCATGCAAAGAGAGTTGATCGTACTTTGAGGACGATTCTCCATCCAGCAACTGCAAAACCTGACTTTCCATTTGCCGCACCGGGCACCTACATCAGTGATTGAAAATTCGGCCCAACAAGGACTGCTGAGTGTCAAGGCCTACAGTGTTAGAATGAAGCAAAATGTGCTCTATCATGAGTGCCTTTAGCGCTCAGAACAAACTCTCTGCAATCTAAATTTGTAATCGACTGTACAACACTTTCACCACAATAGTTCTCCTGTGTCTAGGTATACTTTGAGTGAAATTGTTCCTATTTGATTAATGTTTGGCTTGAATTGATGATTCAATCACAAAAGTGAGTTCGACGATTTTCCCTTGGAAAATCCCTTGTTTACAGAACTTGATTTGACTTCTACGACAATTCTGTGTTGAATGCAGTACTTTGGGATATCTTGCATTATTCCCTACTGCACCGTACACAACATCGATATTCCACTTGTACAGGATCTTTTCCTGTTTGTGTGGATACAGATTGTCCGACAGACTTGCGTCCGGCATACTTGCGTCGAATCCCGACATCGCGCACGATCAAAGTCCGATCGCACGTGTCGAAACCTTGTACTTGAATAGTTTCTTTTGGAACGTAAAAACTCATATTTCGTCATATCCCAACATACAGTCCAGTGAAGGATGCGATCCTGATCTTGATCAGTAAGCTATGAGATTACTACATTTTGACAGAGGTTCTTTACCCGGGCATCGATTTCACCGGAATGTTCAAGTTTGCTACTACACGGTTGCACAGTTCCTACACCCTGTTCAAACTGCTTTTGTCCATCAAGGCTACGCCGGCCCAGGCTGATCAAGCTTCCACAGCCGCCAAAGACAAACCCTCTACAGCAACGGCAACTGATGACGACTCCTCCAAGGAGGAGGACAACGAACCCCAGGAGGGAGCGGGTTCTCAATCATCCGGAGCATTTAAGAAGGTGACAAAGAAGAAGGTGAAGAAGAAGAAGAAGTCGCCCCTGTCCCATATCCTAGAGAATCATTTTCTCAAAGATCTGTCCCCGGCACAACGCAAACTGGCTGAAGCCACGGACCGCAAACTGCAGAACGATATTGATTGCCATAAAGCAGGTCCACTCTTCTTGATGATCCTTCCAGGAGAAATGGAAGGCTCTTACATCTTTGTATGTCACAAGAAATACGGTCAGTTGGCTCGAAACGTGTTGAAAGGGATAGTTCCGTTCTTGATTCATCACCTGTGCAAACTTACCGATACGCAAGCTGATCGAGTCTTGGGTAAATGGATTACCAAATCAGAAATCCAGGCGACGCGTTGTAAGTTTTTGGTATGGTGCACCAACACACTGAAGTCCTGCAAGATCTATATGGCGTTGCCTGGTTCCGAAATTTTGCAGTCAAGACTAAAGCGTATGCTGCTATTGATAGCACCGATACTACTGCTAGAGACAAGTTCAAGGATGATATCTTTGAAGCAGTTCTTGCAACAGGATTCCTGTGCAACTGTGATCGAACGAGAACAGCTCCTCTGATGCTGGATCTTCGGACGAACTACTGCAGGGAAGTGGATTATTATCCAAAGACGGTCAGCAAAGCACAAGATATGTTAAAGATCCACATGGATGTGATCAAGAATCTGGGAGTGAACCTATACCAAGGAAAAGACCAGCCAAATAAAGGTGAAGGTAAAGGAAAGGGTAAACCGAAGGACGATAAGAAAAAGGCGGCATGTTATGTATGTGGCAAAGAGGACCATATGTCTCCAAAATGCCCAGACAGATTGCTACCAGAGAGTCAATGGAAGCATCCAAAACACTATGTTGATTACGGGAAGAAGCTCAATCTTAATCAGATTGGAGCAACTGTCCCAACTACAGCTACAGTTCCTGGACCTTCTCCAGCGACAAGTGTGATCACGGGTGGAATATTGAGTGTTGCGGGAAGTGTTAACACACCTTTGCGACTTGCTGGTACTCCAGGTACTCAAATGATCCAAGTTCCTACAGGTATTCAAATGATGCAAGTTCCTTCGGGAATGCAGCTCATGCAGATTCCAACTCAAGGTGGCGGCACTGTTACTGTCCCTTATTCAATGAATGCTAACGGTGAGATTGCGTTCAGTGGAATGCAACTCAGC